AGTTACTACGAGTACGATGTACCAGACACCATGAACGTCCATGGAATTTACGATATGTCAGCCACAATGCAGACGTCCGAGAGCTGGGAATTCCAGAAATATTTGCAGTAGGAAGCAGGTGTCAGAATCGTATTTTGGGTTTTATGCCGGCGCTAAGAAGGCTAGGGGCAGCTCCGAGTCGGGCGCTAAGCAGCAGTACATGTCTGTGCTGGATGTCGATGTGGACAGGTGGGTACCGGAAATTTCACCAACAAATAATTCAAATAATATGTCCAGGGAGAAATTTTATTCATCCCTAGGCGAACAAAACGTACAAACTGCCAATAAACAAAAATATTGCGTCTTACTAAAAACTGAAGCAAATTTCATTGCTATTGTCCATGGAAAGGTATGAAGTGTTCATGGACGAAGTTAAACCTCAAGATTTGAGCTTAACGTTTCTGCGAGAATTCATGAGCCTCCCCAAGTCATACTTCAATGCAGGAGCACCAATAAAGTACCATAAGTTGAACAAACTATGCTTAATCGACATAAATTTTAACTTGCACTTGTCGTTTTCGTTGCTTTGTGATGTTGGTCCGCTTCCAGTGAAGTGAGTCTAGATTTTTTTCTTTTTGCTGAAAAACAGAAAATTTTATCCAGAGATGGGGAACACACTATATCAAATCAGCTAAATTTAGAAGGTCAACTGGAAATTCATAAGACGATGGATACTAGTCAAGCGGGAAGTAAGACACAATTTTCAGAAAAAATGGAAGTGGAATACAAAACTCTTTTCGCAAGTGTTGGAGCAAAATATAAAAAGGAAGGAGGGCATTCAGTGAGGGTGGAAACCAAAACAACATCCACAGTAGTGGAAGCCAAATGAGGAAGTCAGGATATTGCATCTATCCTTTCTGATGTTTACGCGCCAACATTCAAGACAGAGTTCAAGGAATGGCTACAATCCATCCCCCAATACCCCAAGGCTTTTAAATTCCAGATGAATTCTGTGACAGAATTAGTGAACTTCCGCGCCAACGATTTTTTCCCAGATGAGGTGTGTTAATTAGACAATAGCGGAACTTCTGTTAAACCAGCTGCAACATGTCTTAGTATACACGGGTGAATAGTGCTTTTCGCGGGCGCTGATTAGCTGGTTCGGAGGTGAATAGCAAACACTATTCACCTCAAAGCAGCCGATGAGGCAAATTCGCGCGTTGAGAGTTTAATTTTCGACAATTTTTGACATATTGTTCAGAAAAAGACTATTTTTTTTCGGTTTCCGTGTGTTATATACTAAAAAAATCATTCACCTCATTGTCGGTGAAAGTGATGGATATTAACCTCGCCGCTTTGTGGATCGGTTAATATCCACCACTATTCACCTCCACTTTTTATCTGCCAGGGTCAGTTGTTCCGTAAGCCCACACGTGCCTACCGAGAGATATTTAATTGCATGTACCTTGGGCTAAATTAGGTGTTATAAAAAGAGCGGCGGTCACCCCGAGTAAAAGTTCTACTCTTGCTAATCAGACTTCTGGTACTTCCCGTTTGCGCGTATTTTTCGAGGCAGTTTATCCTAATTGTCCAACAATATGTTTAGGACCAATTTTCTTTGGAATGAGACTGCATGTATTTTGACTTTCACTTTATTAAAATGAAAGTATATTCTTCAAATTTCCTTTCAAACTGCGTGTGTAGACTGAGTAGAAATCAATTAAGAGACTCAGATACTGTTTGCCACATACCGTAGGTAAAGTGGGGCTGCGAAGGAAAAGCAGCAGAGCTACAAACAGAAAAAGATGGACGTAAGTTCTATTACATCACTGGCACGGACGGAAAAAAGAAAAAAGTTTATTGCAAGTATGACAGTAGGAAAAGCCTGGAGATCGCAATAACGGATAAAAGTACAAGTCTGCAAAGGGCAATTGCGATCTACATGGAAGAGGTATAATCATAAAACTGTGATTTTCGGAGTCTTTCCAATGTAAATAACGAAGCTAAGTCTGAGGAAATTCTTTTTGAACATAACTACTTTGGAGGGATTTTTTCAAGCTCTATTCCATTCTTTGCATCTAGTGACATGTCCAGGACTGATTTAAAAAACTTTTTAAGTTTATTCGAGTTTTTAAATAAGCTAACCTGATTTATATATATCTTTTAATTAGCTGTGATATGACCACTTTTAGGACCATTTCTGAGTAACTCTGTAAAGTTCACCATTGGTCTTTTTAGTTTCAAACTTGCACCGAAAGTAAACTGTGTCAAGTGTTTAAATGCGTCGTTATCGTCATTTTTAAGCCAAGATTGTCATCATTTGATAAATAATGAAACACTTTAGGATCAATAATTTCCTCATAAAAACAGATTTGTAGTTTTGTAAATTTGTAGCAGGAGGGTGTTATACTCAGACGTTGTTGGTCAGAGTACATGTGACTCGAGAGTCTTCCTACCTACCATTCATGTGATTTCAAGAGGATTTATGTCGCTTTGATGTCTTTTTTCTGACATCATCTTTTTTAAAGACGGCCTTCTTTCTATCGTTGATAAGAAAAGCCACTCGTGATGCAAAGAGTTGTTCCCATTTATTTCTTTAATTTTCAGGCTGTAAGGCACCAAACAGCGATGAACAGTGCTATGCATGCCGAGTTGTGAAGGAGGCGGGCACAAATAAATGCCTTGAAGATTGTCCATCAACATGCATGATAAACAAGAAAAAGGAGTGCGTTAGTGAGTAAATTTAGTGCATAATGTTACCACAGAGAACCACATAAAATCATGACGAGATTGGAGTGTGAACTTGACTAAACTACACACGGTTTAGTTCAGGTGCGTCAGTGAGTGCATATTTCAGTGTACAATGTTACCACAGAACATCACATAAAACCATAACGAGATGTGGGTATGAACTTAATTGTTTGAACTTGGTAGGGAAAATTTCGCAATGAAATACTGATATTCCTCAAGGAGATCTAGTATTCAGCCTTTTGGTTGGATTCCGTTGTTTACGCTTCGCAAAATTCTATGATTCTTCTAGAGTCACTTTCTAAACTACAATTGGAGATTTTCTTCTTACCTGGGCTAAGATGTATAAATATAGATACTGTAAAATTGCACTCAAAACCAAAAGTCTTCCCTACAACATTTTGGCCCATCACACCCTTGGTAGGATGTTTGCTTGCAAGAGCCTCCGCCATTTAATGTCATCGCCCAGTCCAATAAATAAAATGACCGTGGTGATAACAGACGTGAGGCGGATAAAATGACCACTGGAAATGAATGGTGGGATTCACGAGCTAAAAACAAGATACAAAACATGGCAATTAATTTTGTAACTTGTAGCACATTAGGAAACGTTGTTTCTCCAAAATGAAGACGTTATCAAAACAGAGAAGAATATTTTGCCGCATTCGAAGAAATAGGTAACGTCAATTCATAATTTGTTTCGTGGTTGTTTAGCAATGAAATTTACCGCAAACATCAACGTTCCCGTAACATTTTTTTCGCTCTTGTGGGGGCCAGGCAGGTGAGTTATTTATCATGCGATGCTTAAACAGCAACAACAACAACTTCAACAAGAAAACAGCCACACAATCAAGGTGGAGATCAAACCCATGCTCGTTATGTCCAGTTCAAACGTTTGAATTATACATATATACTTTGAATTAGGATCTTATCACGCTAAACTGGAAGGGAACTTTCATGACGAGAGGGATATCTCAGTTGGGGATGAATTTAGCGCATGTATTTGGTTTAAGACGGTGGAAGGAGCCTGACGGGGAAATAGGATTCGCCTGCTTTGGTTGTATATGACAGGAATGAACATGCTTATCCATTTAACGCGGGAAGGAGAAAATATCATGCTACAATATGTACACGGTGGTATCAATGAAAAGTAAGTTAAGTTATGAAAACATTTTGCGTTGTTTTGGTTTCCTTCATCCTCCTCGTTTGTACTTTTTGCACACAGCTCACAGCCTCAACCAAAATCCATTTTGATCTTCATCATACTCAGACATCCCTACTGGTTCATTAAGACCTGTCGCGCGTTTCTCTCTCATTTATTTATGGACCACCGCTTCAAAATTGACGAATTTTCACGGCGCAAAAATAGCAACCGAAAGAAAAAAAAAAAACCGCAATCAACCTTCTTCTTCCTTCATGAACCCACGGAGATAACTTCCGCCAAACTGAATGTTTCCGTGACATCAGAACTTTTTTGTCGCAATTTTGTGCTATGTAGATTAAACATGATTATGGCGGTTTCTTCCACCAGAGACAATCAAAATGGATCCAAACTCTGTGATCAAGGTTAGGTACATGGCCTCCTGAACCACCTGGAGCAACAGACACTTTTCCTGAACGAGTGAATTTCTGATCTTCAACCCCGTACTTTGCATTTATGAGGAGCTGTTTAAGTTCCCGATTAACTGCATCATGAGCGGCGAAAGCCTATTCCATTTCCTAAGTTTATAGAGCACAATTCGCAAAAAAATTCTCTTAAAGTTCTAGACTTCACTAAATTGAAGAATTTGCTTTACAGACAAAACTTTGATGTTTTAAAAGACAAGGAATGACACCAATTCTGTAACTTATGGTCGATCAACACAGCGGTGTGGTCATTTTATCTAGATGGTAGAAGGGTTAAATACGGAACTTATAAAGACTTCATCGGGAGACAATTGGCCAAAATAGAATTCGCTAGCTCAGGTAACACGATGAAAATGCTCGTTACACAGTTCAACCTTTGGGACCGAGTCCTTACCAATCAAGAAATCGAAACCTTTGCAAAAACGTGTAACCAGGGAATAGGAAATCTTTTGTCCTGGGCTGATTTGTATGATAAATCAAAGAAAAGTCGTTACGTCCGGCCTTCCTCGTGCAAATCCGCCCCCGAATTTTTGTCAACAACAGCATCGACGACCACGACCAGGGAAACGCGTATTTCTTTACAAGACGAAGACGCACCTGGGCTTGGGAAACAGTTTGGAAAAGAAATTAATTTTGTCTTTACTACGTTGTGAATTTAAGCTAAATACAATATATAGCCAATAAGGACTTATTCAAGTACAAGTTGTAATAACAATAAATTGATGATGATTATAACTTCTTAAAACTTACATAAAGCGTTATTTATAGAATGAATTAACGCTTAAAAAACCATACGATGCCAAATAATCACGGAAACTGTTCCTTTTGCTAATTGCGAATGGTAAGTTTGAACGTTTCTTGCACTTATTCGTCTGATGAGCGTTTTCAGGCCTTTAAACTGAAAAATTCCCCGGAAATTAAGTCTCCATTCCAAAAATGCTTAAAATTGGTTTTTACCCTTTTCGACTCTGCGAGCCACATTTAATTAAACTTTGCTACTCCTGTACTGTTGGATTAAATCTTCCAACACTGATATCACTTGAGACGGTGTTATTAGCTATGCTCAATGTCGACAGTTCAATATTCACTGAGACTGACCTATGCCGCCTTAGAAATGCACGGCACGTTAGAATACTCTTAAAGGCCTTCCGAAAATTTTTTAACCTCCACGCATATACGAATGGATTCACACCAGAGTTGGCCATCACAAGAACAAACTGGATGTCTCTTACCCAGTGAATAAACTCACAGCCGCAAGTGTAGCAAAAGTTAACGATATAGATACATACACACGAAGGCACGTAGCACGCTAAAAATAACAAAAGGACAATCAACAGTGTCTTTGTAAACTTCCTCTCTCTTTTCATGGCTTGTTTCATGACGACATTCACCTCTGTACTGTCGTGTAAACTGTCCCAGTGACGGACTTGATATCGCAAATACTTGAAAATCTTCACGTTCGTGAAAATTAGCACCGCGAAAGTAACCGCAACAGCAGTGCTTGCAAAGACAAA